CATAAGTTTGGCTGCACACCAGGAAAATGGCTGCTGGGTCTACGTGTGTTCAACTGTACCTCATTGCATTATACCCAAACTGATCCACTAAGAACTGTTAAGATTGAACCAGGAAATAAAATAGGACTCTGGCAGTAGGTGTATGCAGTATATTGTCTCTTATTTCTCTCCCCTCTCTTTCTCTCCATATTAGGTCAACATTAAGAGCTGTCTTTAAATCAATAGTCAGTTTGTTCTGTCCTCTTGTTATATTCTTTATTGTTATGGACAGAGGAAGACCTCAATATGATAGAGCTTTTCGTACTGCAGTTGTACATTATAAATATTTGTACAGACCAATTTAATTATTTACGGCTTTCACATCTTTAGAATTTTAAGTCACTAATGGCAGTTTAATTTACTGCAATCAGTGCAATGCAGCTTTGTATGAACACAACCAAAGTGGATTCATTATTATTATTATTCAGCATTCTATCTGGATCAAAAGTGGCTTACTAGTTACAATTGCTACGAATAATCATTGATTTTAACTACTCTATTTAGATCTATGGGAATAATCATCGAATAAATCGATTAAATATAGGTTAGACCATAGATACTACATGTAGTATCTATGGTTAGACAACGCATTTGAGGTTTCTACGTGATTTAGATTACCGAGGAAACAAATTTAATTAACCGAGGGCGTATCCCGAGGTTAATTAATGTTTCCAAGGTAATCTAATTAATGTTTAATTATTATTAATTAATGTTAATTAATTATTAGTCAGGTAATGTTAGGCAGTGGGCTCGTTACCAACAAGGATGATGCTGTTGCTAACCAGTCTTTTCCATGTTCTGAAAAGTTATTGGTCAGTGATTTTACCTTGGGAGACGCCGTAGCGACAGCACAAGACAGTTTCAAATCAAAACTAGCTAGGTCCGACAAAGATATCACTCGGCAATGTCTTTTACAATACTAGCCTCAGTAGCCTGTCCTGTTAGAGCTCTGCAGCAAACAGCACAAGGACAAAGATACGCTATCCCAAACCAGCAAGGAGTGCTGGCATCCGTAACCGGCGAAAAAACGAGGGTATAGAAACAATTATTGGTGCATAAACCAATGGAATACTTGGTGTAGGTGCATGGAAGCTACAACTTGATGAAACTCCGTCTATGATATCTCTCAGTTGCGAAGGCTAGCAAAATCTATGGAAAGGTTTGTCCTGGAAGTGAGGAAAAAGACGGCACTGAACTTATGTTCCTTAGTTCCTAATACTCAGGCTATACCACATGGTGTGTGGTATCTAGCTGAACAAAACTACCAGCAACAAAACAACAAAACAATGATGACAAAAACAATGTTTGAAATGGGAGGAATAAAAGGAGTCAAAACTAATCATTCTTTACAAGCAACTGCAGCGACCCGTTTATACAAAGAAGGTGTTGACGAACAACTGATAATGGAACGCATTGGTCACCATAGCATCGATGGAGTGAGAAGCTACAAGCATAGATATTATACACCG